CACGGTCAGTAGTAGGGCCAAACACATCATAGTCACTACAACACCACACGGTCAGTAGTAGGGCAAACACATCATAGTCACTACAACACCACACGGTCAGTATTATATAATCCTTACACAGCACTACATGTAGTACTACAACACCACACAGTCAGTACTAGGGTCCCTGTTCCTGGATGAGGTGGAGGGGACAACACCGCATGGTCAGTATAATTATACAGTCCCAACACAGCACTACATACTTTGGAATACGCTACCTCGTGATTGCTTCTCCTATGAGTATAACCTTAAACTCTTTAAGTCTAAGGTCAACAAACATCTGTCCACTCTGGCTGTTCTGTAACCCAAAACATTTTAAGTGGCTCCCATGAGCCTTGTTTTGTGGTGACGGATGAAGTAAATAAAAAAGAAGAAGAATGCTACACATGTACAATTATGTATCATGACTTTGTATAATGTATTTGATAGAGGCATGTGTAATTAAGTGAGGTAGATTTATGTGACATTTAGTGATTGAAGCGAGTAATTTTCCCTGCTTTTCCACAGGCAACTGGCTGATCTATGTGCTGCAGGGTCTGTATATGCTGCTGACGAATGTGCTGCTACTGAACCTGCTGATCGCCATGTTCAGGTGAGTCGTATATGCTGCTGACGAACGTGCTGCCACTGAACCTGCTGATCGCCATGTTCAGGTGAGTCGTATATGCTGCTGCGAAATGTGCTGCACTGAACCTGCTGATCGCCATGTTCAGGTGAGTCGTATGTGCTGCTGACGAATGTGCTGCTACTGAACCTGCTGACCGCCATGTTCAGGTGAGTCGTATGTGCTGCTGATGAATGTGCTGCTACTGAACCTGCTGATTGCCATGTTCAGGTGAGTCGTATGTGCTGCTGACGAATGTGCTGCTACTGAACCTATTGAAGTTAGGGTTAGGGTAAGGGTACAATGTGTTAGGGTTAGGGTGCATGTACATGACTGTATGTGTTGAGGAATGAATGAGTAGATTCTTAGCGTTGACCTGTCCCCCCCCCCAGCTTCACGTTCCAGAAGATCCAGGACAACTCCGAGCAGGTTTGGGTTAGGGTTACATGTATAATGTGTTACTACTGTTAGAGTACATGTACAGGAATGTGTTAGGGTTAGGGTTAGGGTTAGAGTTAGGGTTATGCATGTATGTGTTGAAGAATAAAAGCGTTGACTTGTCTGTTGTCCCCCCCAGATTCACGTTCCAGAAGATCCAGGACAACTCCGAGCAGGTTTGGGTTAGGGTTACATGTATAATGTGTTACTACTGTTAGAGTACATGTACAGGAATGTGTTAGGGTTAGGGTTAGGGTTAGAGTTAGGGTTATGCATGTATGTGTTGAAGAATAAAAGCGTTGACTTGTCTGTTGTCCGCCCAGCTTCACGTTCCAGAAGATCCAAGACAACTCCGAGCAGGTTTGGCGTTTCCATAGATACGACATCATCTACGAGTTTTTCGACCGACCTTGGGGCGCGCCGCCCGTCATCATCCTGGGCCACGTGTGGCGATTTGGCCGGTGGGTCGCCCGGAAGTGCGCCGGGAAACCGCAGGACGATTCCGACGACTTCAGTAAGAACTTTCACTCTTCACTTCTCATAAAGACTTCAGGAAGCAGGCACTTTCACTTTTAACTGCTTAACTTCTCATGAAGACTTCCGTAAGCAGAGCACATTGGAAGAACGTACTGCGTCTCCGTAAAACCCTGATTTTTCTCGTTTTTGGTTGAAAGTCTGGCCAACGGTGCATCAGAATTTTGCCTGTTGCAGACGATATCTTTTCTGACACAACATTTGGAAATTACAGACGGGATGTTAACCTTATATGCATGAATACTACCTTATAAGAGACGTTCTGCCGAAATGCTCTGCACAATACATTATGGGTTTCGCACAGGTGCAGTACGTTCTGCTGAAGTGGTAGTAGGCAGGCAATTTTATTCTTTGCTTCACTTCTTATTAAAACTAGGCTATCAGTGCTGCGTGTGTAATGCTTGGATGAAATGTTTTTTTCAATAGCAAATAAACAAGGTATAGTAAATGTGGTTAACCTGTTTGTTTGTGTGTTTGTGTGCAGACTGTAAGTTCCCACCAGACGAGGTCAGCAGACAGCAGGCACTGGAGAAAGCAGGAGCAGAAAATTACCTGCTTCGGAACCTTCAGCTGCAAAACGAACACATCGACACCAAGTTTGCCACAACCAGCGAAAGGTGCGTAAAAATACTCACCAATAATCACTAACGGGGGGTGCCCTAATTCCGACCCATCCCTAACACCGAACTAGTTTGAAAAATCCTTGTTGCGGCGTTATGCATGGGAGCACGTGCCTAAAAATAGTCACAAGAATGGACAAAGTTTTTGTGTTGATATCGGTAATCTCACAAAGTTTGTTTTAGTTCCTACACTCCGACAACAGACGAGTGAAAAATCTGTGTGAATTCGACGCTTGTTCGGGGGTTGACGAGCGTGTCAAAAATACAGGTTTTGCTTTTCAAACAGCCACTTTGGAGCAAGTCGCGTAATCGTAAAAAGAGGACTTGTTTGGGACAGAAAACAGTTGTAGATTGTTTTAGTCATAATTTGTGTATTATAATTTCTAAACTCTCTTCTCAGATCGACCTGTGTTAAACACTAGGTCGGAATTAGGGCACCCCTGTTGCGATAGAACGTTCCACCGGCAAAATGACAAAAAAACTGCCGTGCGTTTCGTGAGCCATTACGCTTGGGTGCAAGGCGCTACACTAAAGTGAAATATACAGCTGTACAGCTTTAATCATTGTGATCTTTATCTGTCAATATTATAGCTCATGTTGCGCGGGTTTTTGGTCAGATAAACTATTACCAAAGGTCTGTGCGTTTGCATGGAACATAGGTCGGAATTAGGGCACCCCCCCGTTACCAGCGAAAGGGAAAACAGTATAACATCCGTGTCCATAATATCACCAGGGTCCATATTATCGCCATCTTGAGAAACAGTGTGCTTAAAGATACTTTTGGTATGCACTCCTTCACACCTCAAATGTACATACCTAGGGTATGTTGCAGTAAAAATATCTTTAAGCACACTATTTCTCAAGGTGGCGATATTATGGACCCTGGTGATATTATGGACACGGATTTTAGAATTCTGAAGTCCAAACACATCAGGAACATATTCTAACCGTAAAATATGCCTTCATAACTCAATCCAACATTGTAAATATTCAAAGAACTTTGTATAGCTCAGAAAGATTCAATGACCTTCTACGTTTGACCTTGGAAATTCTTCCCAAGGATCCAGCAAGTCTTAGACATGCTGGAGGTTCTGGAGATGAAATGGAGCCAAGAAGGTCAGGGCACGACCTTGGGCGACTCTTTTTCCACTTCAGGGTACCAGAAATGTTGTTTTCTCACCTGTCAATCAAAGGGTTAAAGGTCAATCATTGCCATATATGGGCATGTGGAACTGTATGCTTACTTTCCATGGCCGGGGCGGTTGTGGGGTGCTTTGCAGCTGAGAGAAAATTCGCAGACGGCTGAAACTACATCAAATCTACACAAAAAAATATTGTCAATGATGTAAAAGGAATGTTCCCCTGAAAGACGGTTTGATAAATGCTAAATTTAATAATTTTGTAACATGAAAGGGAAAAGATCATGAAACAAACTGAAGCCTCCCATCTGCTTGGAGATTCTGCTGGGTGGAAGAGTCCGCTTTGCCTGCTTCTGTCTGGTGATTGGTCAGCACAGCTGTCTGGTGATTGGTCAGCACAGCTGTCTGGTGATTGGTCAGCACAGGTGTCTGGTGATTGGTCAGCACAGCTGTTTGGGCGAGCGGTTGCCTGGTTACGCTCCTCTGTAGGACTGCTGGGTCCCTTGTCGCTGGCTTACCCAGGATCATCTGGCAATTTGCATATTCATAACATTCCTGTGGTGCAATATGAAAATTTGCTGCCAATTACCATAATTATGGTGCTAATTACCATATTTATGGTGCTAATTACCATATTTATGGTGCTAATCACCATATTTGCACAGCTAATTAGCATATTGTGCCCTTGCAGACTTGAGAAAGTCCTGGATGACCTTGAGGACATTAAGGAGAGTGTTCAGGCTAAGGAGGAGTTGGAGGCGTCTTTCTACGCTCCTCCTGCCGCTGACGTGACCTTCACATCTCACAGGACTTCAAGGTCAGGGTCAAGTTGTTTGGGCTTCTCAAAGTCAATCTCTTGGTTTTTTTAATCCTTATATATTGACAGGAGATTCCAACAACAACTGTTGCACTAAAAGAACATCATGAAAATATTCTAAATAGATACTAGTATGTCTGTAACCTGTTCCATACAGTTTCAGATAAATAGATATGTCAGTAACCTGTTCCATACAGTTTCAGGTAAATAGATATGTCAGTAACCTGGTCCATACAGTTTCAGGTAGTGAATATGCATGGACAGACTTGTTTTGCTCCCAGCCTAGGACCAGTTTTTGTCATGACAATTTCACATAAAAAGATCAGAGACCCAAGAAAATAATAATTGACAATGTGTAGACTAACTATCATTCACATGGAAGTTCTTGCCCTGGAGTTACATGTATGTTGTTTGCTTGTTTTGTTGTTTATTTGTTTGTTTGTTTTGTTTTAGACCCAGCTCTGCGACTGCCAGCACCAGCGGCGTGGCCGTTGACCTTCAGCACCGCATGTCTAACCTTGAGGGCCAGCTGGGTTCCATTAAGGACCTGCTGGAACACCTGCAGCCCAGACAGGCACCCGGGGGCTCCGCAGGGGACAGCCGTGGGGCCACGCAGGCACCTGGGGGCTCCGCGGGGGACAGACCTGCTGTTGCCAGGCGACCAAAGTCGCTGGTGCCTCCAGAGTACAGCGACTTCCCAGGTCAGTTTGTCCTGAAGCCAAAACTACAATAAGATTTCTTTCATGATTTCTTTAAGTGTCATGAAAGTTCATCCGTGTTGGTAGGAATCATAGTAAAACGTTGAACTTTATTCCAACACAGGGTTACACAAAGATCACGTGTCTGTAACAGTAACTCTCGCCAGATTGTGAAGTGATTGGTCATTAATTATCCTGATGAAGGCGACAGTGGTCGCTGAAAATTTGATCTCTGTGTAACCTTGTGTTGGAATAAAGTTCAACATTTTACTAAGACAGTTTCTTCACTACCTTAATTTTAATTACTTCAAGTTTCCTCCTACAATTCTTAAAGACGTTCCTGTTAGTTGAAGGTTTGTTAAGAACCTGCTGTTGACCTTGCAGGCGTTAGTGAAGGTCGGAAACACGTGTGCGTCGTTTATCACGACCCTGCTTTAGCGTCCGGTCAGAGGTCACATCCTGTCAGAGGTGTGACCTGTTCTTGTGTGCATGTCCTACTCTCCTTGGAGCTGGGGATGAGTCTTACTTTTTTGTACCTGTGTCCTTTGTTTTTGCTTGAACCATTGAACCATTATGCCCTGCTAATTTGAACCTGTCCTGTAGCTATAGCTATAGCTTGAACCCAAAGATCTGCATGGAGATTATGCCTGCCTGAAGTGGCTGTTAGTTCAAGTCAGGGTCTGAAGGATTTCTTTTTTCATTCGTTTTACGTTTTGACCAGATTTGGGTATTTGAAATCAGTTTTTGAACTTGAAGTTAAGAATAGAAGTTTAACTGAAAAAAAAAACAATTCTGACTTTCATCATATGTTTGCTAGTGATTATTTCACTTTTTAAAAATTATTTCTTTGTTATCCTCATGATAATCATTATTTATGTCTAACTTTCCTTTTTTTCCTTTTCCAGACGCTGATGACGTCATGTGAGGAGGCAAAAACACAGGAATAAGAATATCACACAGGAAAGGACTGAAAAAAACTGTACGAGAACATAGCAGACATTTTATGTACGATTTTAGCAAAACTGAATTTCTTTTGACTGCTCTTTTCCAAATTATTGCTTTTATGTGGAAAAAATGTCTCATTCAGATTCATTTTTTTGTAATTAGCTACACAAACTTTATTTGTTTTGGCCCTACCCCACGTGACCCAGTCTCACTTGACGTCCTTTTCGGTTTTAGTCTGGCTCCCACGTATGTATGTATAGTCATGATATCAGGATGTAACCTGCGTTATAATGTATCAAACCACGAACTGATGCATGGCCCAAACTCCTCATAGATCTTTGATGACATTTTTTGCCCTATGGTGGCGTAGTTACTTCCACATTCTCTGCATTTCGTTGCGGTGTGATGCATTGCACGAGAAATACCCCAAATCGTACACAATCATTATAATACAGGGTGCAGGACAAGGGTTATTGATTCTTTCATATCTTAGTGAGACAACAACTTAACTGTGATGCTGTATCTGTATCAGTATATTCAGTATAACCGCCTTTCTTCGTAACACCAGCTTCGGAGGCACGCGGCGCGGCGGCAGCTAGCTATATCTCACCGAACGACTTGTTACACTCAATAGTTGTGATGCAAGACAACTTCATTGTAAGAAGCTGTGTCTTCTGCTCTGCTGCTTTTATCAAGTCAAAAATAGAGATAGTTTTAATTAGATGTTTTTACTATGCTAGAGAACTTGTGGAGACAGTACAAGGTGTCACCATGAAATGGATGAACTGAACTGAACTATTTTAACCACCTGCAAAGATGTGTAAATTTCCTGCTAGTATAACGAGGAAGGAATATAATATAATATTACGTTCTGTATATTGTGCAAAAGTATTTGTAACAAATTGAATGCCTAGCAATGTATCAAAAGTAGTTTATATTATGTAGGAATATGAAATTCAATGTTTTTAAGACGACCGACACAGATCAGCTTTTATGCTATATTTTATGGTCTTTCATGTACATAATATATTATGTGTGTGCCTATGCAAAAGGTTTTTCATGGTAGCAAAATTAGGACATTAGACGTAAAATTTCAAGTAAAATTTAAACGTGTTACTATATGTATTACTAGTAGTATAAAAGCCGTTAAGAACTAAACACTTTGTTTTTTAATGCAATTTTCGAGGCGTGTTTCCGTGACTTTCTGTCAAAGCTAGTGTGACAGTTATGTCTTTCGGGTTGAACATTGATGACTGCTTATTTGTATTAAGAACTACGTAAATGGCTTGTTGCTTTTCTACAGGTGCTAAATCTGCAAGAAAGTCCAAAGAAGCGCCGTTATTTATAGATTCTGAGGATAACTTTAAAGATGCAATATAGAATACTTAGAAACTATAACTTTAAGTTACAATCCTGGTACAAGGTTGAGAAATAAAGAGAGAAGAGAGGAGTTGTGTGTTGTGCCTATGTGAGTTAGAGACAGCAGTCTTTATTTATTTATTTATGGGTAGTCTCTTCAGCCCCGAGGGGCTGATTTCCAAGAGTCTACATGTACTTCTGATGATGGCGTCTGGATACTGGTAATATCTGGCACCAAGCTGACTTCAGAATTCTGCGCAACATCTCCAAGACTGACCCACAAATATAATGTGCTACGACTGACCCACAAATTTGCTAAGACTGACTGACGAATGCGCTTTGCTGTTCTGCATAACCCATTACTGTTCTAAGGGACCGTGTCATGGTTCGTGTGCACTGACACGTCCCGGCGCTAGGGGTCGCTGTTTGCCGCTGACCAGGCACAAACAAAGGCGTGTCCTAATTACCTTTGGCACAGTGGTAACCTGATACCCTGGCCACGCGCACCCAACCTAGCTCCAAGCAGATGTCTGGCGTGTCTTTTGTGGTGTTCTTCAAATCGCTCTAGTTGTTGGTGAGCTCACCTCAAAGCCACCCTGAAGAGACGAACTCCAAACGCCAGGAAAGACGCGACACAGACACAGGTAGGCGTTACACACATACACAGGAACAAAAAACGTAATTATCTGGGCATTTGAGAGTCTTGAAAACTATTGAATGCAAGGAATATTTCAACACAATTCAACCATATAGAGGGAGAGATACTCATTGGTATGTAAATAGATGCTAAAGTAGATAGACATCTAGATAAATAAAGTGAAAGTGAAAGTGAAAGATACATTGTGTGTGTGAGTGAGTGAGTATGTGTTTGTGTGTATCCAGTTTTCCCGACAGGTAAAGCCCCCTCCATCTGCTTGGCTCTGTCCGTGAGCGGGTTGACTGACCGCTGCCCAGCCGTCCGGAGGGTGTGGCGGAATCAGGTAACCCGATACGGTCAGTATTTTGCCACTTTGCAGTGGCAACATGCACGGTTGGCGGGGCCGGGCCGGGGTAGGGCAGCGGCACCCGGGGTCGGGTTACCGGGGATGTAGGTTACCCTAGCCTCTACCAGGCGTCGGGAGGCGGCTTGAAAGAGAAGAAATCGGCCAAATAGAGAGAGATGACGTGCCAAGGGAATTGGTCTGCCGGGTGCGGCAAACTGTTCAACTTCTCTCCAGCAGACCAACTCCCCTAGCATGTTATCTCTCTATTTGGCCGATTTCTACTCTTTCCAGCCGCCTCCCGAGGCCTGGTAGAGGTTTAAATATAGCATTACCGGGATGTACGCCGTACCAGACACTCCTGTCACCTGCCTGGACAGAACCATCTTCTCAGCAGTGGGGGGGGGGCAATCATCTTTATCTTAACCGGAATAAAACTACTTGCTGTACATCACAGGATGTAAGCCGCGCCCGTCGCCATGTGGCTACTGGGGCCTTCCTGCAGGTCCGAGCGTCGTGTGGGTAAACTGGGAAGATGATGGTTAAGAAAAAACGTACTTTCTGCACCCCCCTGCAGGTGTTGAAGTGGACTGTGCCGTGATGTAATCCCTCCGCCAGGTTCGCCCGTCCTTCCATAGAACCCGGACCGTCCTACAGAAACGTCACATCGACCTTACGTCGGGCTGACGTCGCTGATTTCGGCTCCTCCCTTCCCGCCCCGCGACTTTAGAACTCCTGAAGCTGACCTGAGGATGAGGTCCGCTGTGCTGTTCGGGCTCATCATCGCCACAGGTAAGCGCGCCACTAACCATATCCAGAACCCTGCCTATCTAGCTACAGGTGGGCCTGCATGCCCTTTTCGTAAGGCGTAATCAGACCTTTAAAATCTTCGTAATCCGGAGGCAGTCACTCAAAATCAACGTAATTCGTAACCAGCACGTTAGCCGCAACACGTAATTGGTCGTTTTCATTCTACGTAATGCGTAGGCAGTTGCCTTTCTGTAACGTAAAAGGTAATCCATAAAGTACTCCATGATATAACGTAACTCTGAGAATTTAATGTAATTCATAATCGGCGGTGAAAATTTGACGCATATACGCGACGTACGCACGCTTCCCATGGCTTTGTGGTTAACATCTTTTGACGGAAGCTGCTTTGAGCCCTGCTTGTTGCTCTTTGTCACCAACTGGAAGCTACAAGCAGAAAATACGACGGTCCTTGTGTGAACCGGTTTTTAACTGGAACCAAGATAACCTCAAAACCTGTTTACAAGTTCAACTTTTAATACCCCTTCGCACCCTACATATCGGGAGGGTAAAAATGAAAGCGCAGAAAAGGCAATCTCCGATCAGACCTTCCAGTGGCAAAGTCATTGCCAACTGGCAAGATGGCACCCAATGGACAAGACTGTCTAGCCTAGTGAATGGTGTCTCGGCAGTTGACGGTTTACGACTTTGCCACCGAATAACCTGCTTAGATATTATCCAAACGACGATCAAATTAACCTCCACCTGTTCGCCTGAACAGAGATTGATATAAAACAAATCCCCAGTACGTATATATACTTCTAAACCCCTCTCAGATCTCCCCAAGCCGTATAACCAGTAGCTCTGCAGAAGCTACAGATCGCCTCGTACATAAAACCTGCACCATCCTGAAGAGGTCACGTCGACCCCTCAAAGTCAAACTGTCGGGACATGTACCTCGATCAGCGCCTGACTAGCCTTTACTAGGCACCGCGGATCGCTGGACACGGGTCGCGTATTGGATCCTCTCTGGCCGGATAACTCCCCTGGTACACTATCCTTTAATTCGGCCAATTGAGTATCCAGAACCTTGCATGAGCATGGTTCTGAATAAGGCACAGTCCAGGCTATACCAATAGCCAAATTTTGAAGCGGAGAGGGTTGCTGCTCCTGTCAGTCTTGAGAAAAAGAGAGCAGCCAGAAATTCTCGTCAGAAAAGGGACTGAAACTGCACCGTAAGACCTGCCATAGTGGAAGCAGTGTCCACCTGCTAATATCCAAGCAGATCCTAGGGTGGTAAAAGACAGTGCCAAATTGGCTAGGCAGTATCCATTGCAATTTGCCATGGAGGGTCCAGTACGCAGCCCCCGGCACCTTGCTGAACCCTGCAACAGGACCGTGCCTGACTCACGGCAATGCTGTTCGGGCTGATAATCTCCATTGTTCCGCCCCTTACGTAAAGCCGGGCCTTTTGTTCGTTTGTTACCGGTCCTCTCTGTAGTGTTACTTGTGTAAGAGATCCGAGCCCACACGAAGATAACCTCACACTCTCCGAGAACTTACCAGGCTTCGGCTTACTTTTGACATGTCTTCAGGCATTTTTATCTGTATTTTTTCACCAGCCGAATTGAGTACAGTCCTGACAATTTGATCCCGTTTTGCATCCTCCAAAAGATCCAGAGATTATTTGCACACTCCGCACTGAAACTGGACAGTATGAAATCGCTAAGCGGATAAGCGGCTCTTTGTTGTCGTTTTCAGAGATATTTACTCAGCTTTTCGTTTTCTTTGTTCATGTATCAACGAGTGATTTGGTCTTGTGAAAGAGGTAACATGTAGAAGGCTCGAGGCCTGTTAAATAGTTAAACGCGGCTTCGCCACGGCTCGTGTTATCAGCCAAGCACGCTCGATAAGTGTGTTGGGCTCTTTATTCTAAAGGAGTTTGATGTAAGGCTTGTCAAAATGACACATCCCGGAATTTATCCAGCTACTAGTGATCTACTGATGATGAGTGATCCATTTCAAATTTGGATTCCAAAACGTGTCAGGAAGCACGTTCGGGGCCGGTATCTGTTGAGGCGCATGCGCCTATCCCGCTGCATCGGTGACCTGCTTTTGCAGGACATCCGATCCTGGAGACCGTCTGTTTGTTTGTTTGTTGACGTCACATCGTTGCCATGGTAACAGTTGTAGCTTTGTGCTGCGCGGGTTGTGCCGTGCTTAAGCTGGCGGTACGGCCTCGGTTCCGGGACACATGCCGACATGCCGCAAACCGGAACGCAGAGATCGGGAGGACACACGGAACGGGCTACTGACAGGGTATGATCATCCTGTCAATAACGAAACAATTTTGCACTATTGACAGGATAATCCTGTCAAATAGAGACAATTTTGGAGAGGAGGGTGGTGGGTGAAGGAGTGGAATGTGAACTTGAAGATTCTCATCGATCAGTCAAGAGTCAAACTGTATGGAAAGTACCTGAGCAGTACTAAATATCAAAACCATAATCTACGTCAACCTTCATCTCAAACCTCAACCCAAGAGTTAGAAAATCATCTAATCTCAGCCCTTCCAAACAGCAGCTCATTCAAGGAGTCTTTAGAAGGAACAAACTGTGATCCACTGCGACTGGGATGTCGGGAAGGGTCACTTTAACATGTGTCCTTGTGAGATTACAAGAGGGTAGCCTCATTTGCAGTCTTGTTGGGCGTCGGCGTTATTTTTTCTGTGAGCGACGCGAGTAATATGCGGCCGCAAGGGACGATTTGCTGCCGAGGGAGTTTTG